ATTAGTGTTTTGCATGTCATTTTGTTGCTGCCTGCCAGATGACATCTAAAGCATTTTGTTCAGCTTATGTTGTTGTGAACAAGCTGTATTAATGAATTTTTAAGATGCTTCCACTAACTACTGAGCCAACAGCCTGCAAACTGAAGTCAATGCAATATTTCAGTTTTTCCTTTTTTAATAAAATTGCAAAAACAACTGATTAGCAAAAGGCTAAGTGAAGGGATCTGGATGCACTACACATTCAAGAGGATGCCAGTTGCCGCACCAGCAGGGGGCAGTAGGACACACTCGATTCTCCAAAGAGCCGCTTATCACGACATGATAGTTTAACATGCCCTGTGCCGATGTTCTCAAGTCTGGGGGCCTGAAAGGAGGGGAGGACGGAGCATGGAGGCATGAAGACCAATTAAACAGTGACTGCACAGCGGGAGGGGGAACTAAAAATAACCCCGACCCCCCCTGAGCTGCAGCCCACGCCTGAGAGACTGTGAGATACCAGACAGACTCAGTGTGCAGCCTCGCAGGTGCCAAGTGTGTTCAGCTGCTATTTGCATGGTGGTGGTTTTGTAATTTATTGTCAGCATACGCGGGAAAGCGATTTAGGCGCATTAAAGACGTGTTTGTGAATAAGCGACGCGTGGAATCGAGCTGCCTTATCACGCTGAGGCATCACAATGCTCCACCTGAATCTTTTAAACATTAACCAAGTCATGTTTCCACACACTTTTTTCCAGTGTGGCAGCTCTGACAAAGGTCTCAAACACATAAGTCATCACAGGTTATCACACCTGCATGCTCCTATCGCTGACGTCATACGGGTTTCAGATAAAAAAAAAAGGTACATGAGAAAACAATCACAGGAACTGAGGGAACGTCCCCAACGTAGAGCAAAAAGCTTCAACGGTTACACTCACCTGGGATGAGAAACTGGAAAGGGAAACTGTGTTCGCCCGCCGCCAGAGTTCCTGTAAAACAGAAGGCGTTCATCAGCGACACAGTGAACTGAAACTCGAGAGAAAAACATGCAAATGACATTCACACTGTTATATTTCATGCAGTTTGTGTGATTGTGTTTGTTTCTACTTTCTACGTATCCCTCAGAAAACATCAGGCGTCCCAGCGAGGCACCAGGCCTCGGGGACTCACCTACTTTCCCAGTAGGATGGAGTTTCTGAGACAAACAGGCTTTGTTCTTTAAAGACAAACGAGTCGTCTTTTGTAGCGACAGAAACAGGCGACTGAAACCAATCAGGCAGCGTCGCAGGAAGCGATAAAGTGTTGGGTGCGTAGCAGCAGACGTAAGCAACTGGCAAACTTTGAGGCTGTTTCGGGAACAGGTAATGATTTATGAGGCGGCAGACACGGTGCTTTCCTCTGAGCTGTCACATCCACAGGTCAGCATCATTGTTCCAAGTCTGCTATTACATGAAATCGATCCTATCCTGTGTTTTTTTTTGCCAACAAATCCTAGCAAGAAATAAAACAACCCCACAACTGTCCAAGCCCATTTGATCCGACTGAAATGTACATTTTCTAAAATGAATAAGAAATATAAAGTTTAGTTATTATAAAAATACGTTCTCCAGCATCTGTACAGCAGTTGGAAATGGTAAGCTTTTCCGCAAACGACTAAACTCTGAAACCCAGTTAATCCAAAACTGCAACAAAAATCATTCTTACTACGACTACATACAACTTATATCACATTAGTGTTTATGTCCCAACACTGGCTTCCAGTCAACTTTTGGATCCAGTTTAAGATCCTACTCGTCATCTACAGTCATGTTTCCGTGTAACTGTCCAGTGAATTTGAAGCAAACCTTCGAAATGTTGCCAAAAATAAAAAAACTAAACTGCAAGTTGGTACCATTAACTACATCGGAGCTGATAAACTCTTCTGCATAGTGTCGTCAGAAGGTTGTTGTATAAGCTAGGCTGCACATGCCTGTCATAAACAGAGGGAAAGAAGCCAGCTGCTGCTATAAAAAAAAAAACAGCAGGAAGAAGAAACTAAATTCTGGTAATCTATGAGAATCTGTATACGAGTCTTCAGGACTTGCTTTACATAAGAAAAGTTGTCATCATTCTTTTACGTCAGCTGATATCAGCCAGCTTATATGTAGTCTAAAGGTGAAGGCAGTAAAAGATGTGCAAACAGCTGATCAGTGACGTGAGTTTAATGTTTCCTATTTTTTTTTTCCATTTCACAAGCGATACGAACAAGGTGTTTCCATCTGTCATCAGGCAAGCCGCTTCTCTTTCCAAGAATTCAAAAGTAGGTCAAGCAAGCTTAAAAATCTTTACTTTTACTGAAACTAGGGAAGATTTGTTTTGAACGTCCATTGTTTCTATTAACTCAGACTGTTAAAACTGCTAACATATACATACAGTTAAAATCAGAAGTTTATATCCACTGTATAAAAAGACACATAACCTTCTTTTTTTCTCACTATCTGTCAATAAATCAGACTAAACTTTTCCTGTTTTAGGTCAGTTAGGATTACCAACATTATTTCTATTTGCTAAATGCCAGAATAATGAGAGATTTTTTTTTTATTGCTTCCTTCAAAGTCAGAAGTTTAAATACACTAAGACTACTATGTCTTCAAACTATTTGGGAAAGCCCAGATGATGATGTCATGGCTTTGGAGGCTTTTGATAGGTTAATTGACAACATTTGAGTTAATTGGAGGCACACCTGTGGATGTATTTTAAGGTATACCTCAAACACACTGCTTCCTTTTGTTACATCATGGGAAGTCAGCCAAGATATCCGACCATTTCTTTATCCCAGAGATTAAGTGTTTTGGTCGGAAACAACGCCAGAACAAAAGCTGAAGACCTTGTGAAGATGCTGCTGAAGCTGGTCAGAGAGTCATTATCCACAGTGAAACCAGTCCTGTACCAACATGGGCTGAAAGACTACTCAGAGAGGAAGAAGACATTAAAAAGCCAGATTGCAGTTTGTAAATGCACACAGGGACAAAGATCTTCATTTCTGGAGACATGTCCTGTGTTCTGATGAAACTAAAACTGAACTGTTTGGCCTTAATGACCATCGTTACATTTGGAGGGAAAAGGGGGAAGCTTGATGCCTGACAACACCATCCCAACTGTGAAGCACGGGGGTGGCAGCATCATGTTGTAGGGCTGTTTTGCTGCAGGAGGGACTGGTGCACTTCACAGAATAGATGGCATCATGAGGAAATAACATTATGTGGAAATGTTGAAGCAACATCTCAAGACATCAGCCAGGAAGTTAAAGCTTGGGCACAAATGGGTCTTCAGATGGACAATGACCCTAAATATACCACCAGATTAGTGACAAAGAGGCTTCAGGACAACAAAGTCAATGTTGTGGAGTGGCCATCACAAAGCCCTGTCTCTCAATCCTGGAGAACATTTGTGGGCAGAGCTGAAAAGGAGTGTGGAGCAAGTAGACCAACAAACCTGACTCAGTTCCAGCAGTTCTGTCAGGAGGAATGGGCCAGAATTCATCAAACTATTGTGAGAAGCTTGTGGAAGGAAACCCAGAACGTTTGACCCAAGTCCAACAGTTTAAAGACAACGCTACCATATACTGAGGAAATATGTGTCATCTATCAGAAAAATGGACAGAAATCTTCCGGAATTGTTTTCAGTCAGGGAAGATGTAA